ATGCAATGGAGACTAAAAGAACAATATAATGAATCACAGGGTTAGTTCTTTGAAAGATTAAATAAAATTGACAAACCCTTAGTCAACCTTATCAAAAAAAAAAGGAAAGACAAAAAACCCATGCAACTAGAAATGAAAAGGGTATAATCACAACAGATCCTGCAGAGATCCAGAAGATCAGCAATACCTTCTTCAAGAACCTGTATTCTACTAAGATGGAAAACAGGAAAAAAAGGACAGATTCCTAGGAATATACTAATTACCAAAACTGAATCAAGATACAGAAATTCTGAATAAAACAATACTATCCAATGACAATGAATATAATTTAAAAATTACCGACAAAGAAAAGCCCTGGCCCTGATGGATTAACTGGTGAATTCTACAAGAAATTCAGAGAGGATCTAATTTTGCTACTCCTCAAACTCTTTCATGAAATTGAAAGGGAAGCAGTACTTCCAAATTCATTCCTGGAAGCAAGCATTACCCTGATTCTAAACCACAGAAGGATTCAAGGAAAAAGGAGAATTACAGGCCAATCTCCCTAAAGAACAGAGATGCAAAAATTCTCAATAAGATACTGGCAAACAATGCAGGAAATCATCAAGAAGGTTATACACCATGACCAAGCTGGATTCATCGCAGATATGCAGGGATAGTATAACATATGCAAATCAATAAATGTAATACACTATATTAATGGAGCCAAGGGAAAAAAAAACTGTATGATCCTCTCAATAGATGCAGAAAAAGCATTAAGGTCCAACACCCACTCATGATAAAAACCCTCCAGAAAATTGGTGTAGATGGTCTTTATCTCAATCTGATAAAAGCCATCTATGTCAAACAAACAGCCACCATCATACTAAATGGACAAAAACTGAAAACTTTCACTCTAAAATCAGGAACAAGACAAGGATGTCCGCTGTCACCACTCTTGTTCAATGTAGTTCTGGAAACCCTAGCCAGAGCAATCAGACAGGAGAAAGAAATAAAAGGAATAAGGATAGGAAAGAAGGAAGTTAAATTATCATTATTTGTAGATGATATGACACTCTACATAAAAGACTCCAGTCTTTTAGTAGAGTTTTGTGGGGTCTTCTCCACCAAAAGACTTTTAGATTTGATAACCAAATTCAGTGCCATAGCTGGATACAAAGCCAACACTCAATCATCATTAGTCTTCCTACACACAAACAACAGACTCACAAAGAGAGAAATTAGAGAAACAATCCCTTTCATAATAGTATCCCCCAAAAAAGAAATACCTAGGAACCAATCTAACAAAGGAAGTAAAAGACCTCTACACTGAAAATTACCATACTGTGAAAAAGGTGATCAAAGAGGATATCATAAAATGGAAAGATATCCCTTGTTCTTGGTTAGGAAGAACCAATATAGTGAAAATAGCCATACTTCTAAAACTCTCATCTAAATTTAGTGCAATCCTGATCAAAGTTCTAACACCTATCTCAAAGAATTAGAGAAAACAATCCTAAAATTCATTTTGGAACCAGAAGAACCTAGAATAGCAAAGACAATTCTGGACAACAAAGGTAAGGCATGAAGAATCACAATTCTTGTCTTGAAATTATACTACAAAGCTACTATGATTAACAGTATGGTCCTGGCACACAAAAACAGACCTAAGGAACAGATTAGAAAATGTAAAGACAACTCCAGATGTATTCAACCACCTTATCTTTGACAAAGAAGCCAAGCACCTTCACTGGAAGAAAGATAGTCTCTTTAATAAATGGTCTGGAAAACATGGTTTTCCACATGCCCAAAATTGAAATCAGACCCATATTTTTCACAACACTCATTAACCTAAAATCAAAATGGATCAAAGATCTAAATATTAAAACAGAAGCACTAAATCTGCTGGAAGAGAGAATGGGTAGAACATTTGAGGACACAGCAGTAGGCAGAGACTTCATGAACAAAACCCAGTCTGCATGGGAAATACTACAAAGAATCAACAATTGGGACCTCATCTTACTAAAAAGCTTTTGCACAGCAAGAGAAACCACCAGCAGAGTGAAGAAACAACTCACATTAGTGGAAAAAAAATTTACCAGCTATTCAGATAAAGGACTATTATCTAGAAAATATAAAGAGCTTAAAAAAATCAGACCCCCCCCAAATTTAAAGACTCAATGCAAAAAGAGGCATCTGAAATAAAAAGACACTTCTCAGGTGAAGAATTAGAAATGGCAAATAAATATATGAAAAAATGTTCAACAGTTCAACATCTTTGGTCATTCATGAAATACAAATTAAAACAATGCTGAGATTCCATCTCACTCCAGACAGAATAGCAGTTATCAAAAAAATCAACCAATAACAAATGCTGGCAAGGCTATGGGGAAAAAGGAACACTTCTCCACTGTTGGTAGGAGTGTAGACTGGTGCAACCACTGTGGAAAATCAGTGTGGAGATTTCTCAAGAAACTAAAATTAGAAGTTCCATTTGACCCAGCTATACCTCTTCTTCGTATCTTCCCGAAAGAATTAAAAGCATCATACCACAGCAATACAGAGCATAGTTTGTAATAATTAAATCTTGGAAATAGCCCAAATGCCCACTAACATACAAGTGAATGAAGATATGCTTTTTTAATATAATGGAATACCATAAAGGATGGGCTTGAGACATTTATAAGTAAATGGTTGGATGCACCTTGAGACCATACTCTTAAGTGACAGAAATTGGACACACATGTTTAAATACCATACTGTTTCTCTGGTGTGAGAAACCAAAAATGGAAATAAGGACTGAAATATATAATGGATGTTGGAAAATGGGAAGAAAGTGTTCAAATGGTAAGGAGAATAAGAGAACAGCAAGGGAGAAAGGAAGGAAGGGACAAGAAAAGAACAACAAAAGGAAAAAATAGAAACAAATCTCTACATAGAGAAGGGGACTTGAGGAGGGGAATGGGATAAAATTTATTTTTTAAAAACTAAATTATTAATTTATCTTTGATACACTATCCATTTCTACTAAGAAAAAGAAAATAGATATTTTGATTAATGTTAAGGGACCCTATAAGGTTATGGGAGCCTAATGTTAAGGGAGCCTGCAATTCCAGCACTCTAGGAGTCTGAGGCATGATTGTGAGTCCAGTAAGAACAATTTAGAAAATTAGTGAGACTGTCTAAAAATAAACAGGACTAGGATGTAGCTCAGTGTAAAAGCCTTGAGTTCCACTGGAAGGAAAGGGTGAAGGGGGAAAATTCTTAATAAAGACAAATAATTATAATTTAATAAATAAAAAATAATAAAAAGATAAAAAGTATTAATTTCATATTTCATGAATCTGTTATAAATAATCATTACATTTTTTTTAATAAAGAGGAAAATCTCTGCCCCTACTTTACCTCTAGATGGGCTGTTTCACCTATATCAGATTTAGCATATAAAAATAAGATTAACTGTCTGAACCATTCAATTCTAAGTGCCTTAGGTTAATTCTCAGGAAAATATTCTAGATTAAAATGTTTTACGTTTTATAAACAATTCTTTTTTTTTTTTCTAGGGATTGAACCTAGGGCATTGTACTTGTGAGGCAGGTGGAACCACTGGGCTAAATCCCCAGCCCAAAATGTTCTATATTTTAGATTAAAATGTTTTAGAAACTATTTTAGACATATATTTTAAATATTTCCTTCTTTACTTCATATATTATTAAATTATCAAAAAACTTGTATAATGAAACTATATACACAATATTCAAGCTATTAATATAATTATCTAATTTATGAGACTATAAAAGGAAGCCTAATATCATTTCTGTCACTTCAAGAAATATTGTCACATTCTTTCTATTCTTATTGACACTTCAATATTAATCCTCCCATTATATTACAGAAGAAGTCAATGGTCAGAGGGCATGGTTCAGTGGTAGGGCACCTGCACACCATGTAGAAGTTCTAGGTTTGATCCTCAAAGGGAAGGAGGGAGGGATGATGACAGTTACGGTGGACAGCCAACTTGATTGGCTTGGGAGCTACCAGAGAGACTAATAAAGCACACTTTCAGGTCTTGTGGCTAGATTATGGAAGCATGGTCCCTAGTCCCTTCCTCTCTTTCACTGTTCCCCTCCTCTTTCTGGCCACCATGAACTGAGCTGCTTTCCTCCACCGTGTTTCTGCCATGAAGCCAACCATTCATGGACTGAATCCTTAAAACTGTGAGCCAAATTAAACTTCTCCATGAAGTTATGGGTATAGATATTATGTCTCAGCAATAGGAAAGATAGCTAATACATGAGGAAAGAAAAATATGCAAACAGAACATTTTTATAGATAAGTCTTTGAAAAAATAAAATAAAATACCTGAAAGCATATGAAGTAAAGCTTTAGTTATGCTCATTCCTCAAAAGCACAGAAAATATCTTTAACCAATACAGTATAAAAATAAACCTTCATTTTTACTTTAATAGAAAATTACACAAAATTCACTATTTACATGAATTGAGTATAACTTTCATCTCAAACTGAGCAAAATGCAACCAATCAGAGAAGCATGCATTTTAGATTTACAATAATTACTAATTAGGTACAGCTACTCCGTACTATTGTTTTCCTTCTTGTAATCACGTGATATGCCAATGCTACCTTATCTACTGTATCAAAAGCTAAAATGGGGTATGCTAAGATTTTATCCTATTAAGCAATTTTTAAAGAAAGGAAGAACTACTGTGCTAAATTTAAAGTATCTCCTCTATACAGTGAAACTCATAATTTGTACATTGTTTGTAATTATAATAAAAAGGAAAAACACTAAAATTCCCCTATAAGTTTAAGTTGATAGCAGCATACTAAAATCCTGAAGCTCAATTTGATACCCAAAAAACTATTCTCTTTTCAAAAGAAGTATAGTTGTATTCTCAAAATGATACTAAAACCTAACCTATAAATAAAATGTTTAAAGGGCTCAGATCACTTGGTACCGAGTGTTAAAACCATATCTTTTAAAAAAAAAATTCACTCACCTTTCAAACCTAGAGTTTGCAGCTGGAAGAGCCGGCCAAGTTCATAAGGCAAAACCCGTAACATATTGTGATTTAAAAGCAATTCCCTGTTTAAAAAAATTAAAAAAAAAATCTTTTAAAACACCAATCTTTATCAATACATGTATTTGCCATTCTAATCCTTTTTTCTAACATGAGTGATGCCTACATTCAAGTGATTTCTCTATGCTGATCCAAAACTGCTGTGTACTACAGCATTAAGATACTACAGAATGTGTAATTGCCAGAATTTTTAGCAGTGTTTCTCTGATTTACTTATCCTCTAGCACAGGTTAAAGTTAGAGGCAAGGAAGTACATGTCATTTTCAATCTAAATCTATCCTCTTTGCTTTCTTACCCAAAATGCCTATCAGATGTGACATGTCAGTATCAAAGTGACATATCAGTATCCAAAGACACAAGACAATAAGCAAATCTGAGCCTAGTTCAATTTATAGAAAAGTCTTTACATAATCTTTAGGATTAAACTATAATTAGCAGACTAATCACCTGCATCTTTTTTATAACTGATTACAAACACTAGTCATTTCAAAATAAGGGTAAACTTGCAAGCGCAAGGACCTGAGTTCAATCCCCAGTACCAAAAAAAAAAAAAAAAGTGTAAAAACAGAAAAATATACAATTAATAAAGAACAAGAAGTGAGTTACTTGGGTGTAGTGTCCCATGCTTATATATAATTGCAGCGCTTGGGAAGCTGAGGCAGAGGAATCATGAAATTCCAGGCCAGCCTGGACTATGTAGTGAGACCTTATCTCCAAAAAGTTTAAAAAAGGGGTGTGGGCTGGGCATGGTGGCACATGTCTGTAATTCCAATGCCCAATACTCTGAGAGGCTAAGGCAGGAGAATCACAAGTGCAAGTCCAGCCTGGATAACTTAGTGACACAGAAAGACCCTGTCTCAAAAAAAAAAAAAAAAAAAAAAATCCAGGGTTCAATCCCTAGTACTGAGGAGAGGGAAGGGGGAGAAGAGCAGAAAGACGAGGGGAAAGAGGGGGAGAGAGGAGGAAAAGAAGAGAGCGTGAAGGGTATGAAGAAGAGGGGGCAGGAGAAAGTGTATCAAGAAAATAAAATATAATGAAAAGACAACTCTCATGAACAACCAGACACACAACATAAATATTAAAGCACAGGAAATATGTAAGAAAAGGATAGCATAAATAAGGTCTAAGTTTATAACTGTGAAATTCTGAGCAGACTACAGAAAAAATAAAGGGCACTTTCATTAATAGATGATCGAAAAGTTCTACAACAAACTAATAAGGGGATGGTAAAGAACAGTATGTTTATTTACTGCTTAACAGATAATGCAGAAAGACAATTCTTGTTTTTATTGGGAACACATATACAGTCTCAAGATTCCTAGAACATTTTATACTACAAAAAAAATGTTAAATCTTGAATGAAAAACAAATCTATCAAGTTTTAAAGTTTTCTTAATGAGTTGTAATATAAAATATAAATATACAATGTCTTATAATTGGAATACATTCCTCTAAGCTTGGTTTACAAGCAAATCATATCTTTTTCCCAATTATTTCAGATTAGTCCTATCAGAGTTGAAGTCAAAATGAGACTCTTAACCTTACCTCACCTCCAATCTGTCAAAACTGATGATGGGAATTTCCAAATTTAAAGGAAATGCTCAATGAAGGGCAACTCAAGAACTGTGCTTACAGTGTTTATATCATTTGATTGTCACAGACACACAGAAATTCCACTGTAAAAACAGTAACATCCCATAATTTTATTTGATAAATTTAGAATTTTATATAATGAGTTGTGTCTGTAATATTTCCTCACCTGAGAGATACCATGTTTCCTAGTTCTGCTGGTAAACTTCTGAGTTTATTGGATGACAGATCCAGGTAAACCAGATTATGAAGCTTGGCAATGTCAGGTGGAATGCGACTAAGGTAATTGTCATTTAGGTGCAGCGCTGTCAAGTGTGTCAATGACCAAAGTGATGTACTTAAACTCCGCACTCTACCTAAAAGACAAAATATTAAAGCATAAAAATCTAAGCCCAATGCAAAGGTTGACCTGCAAGACTAAAATGTATAAGAAGCCAGGCATGGTGGTGCACCCCTGTGATAACAGCACTAAGAAGGCTGAGGCAGAGGATCACTGAACGTTTAAGGCCAGCCTGGGCTATATAGCAAGACCCTGTCTCAAACAAACAAATAAAATAAAACGTAGAAGAAACTGCAAATAGACACTGTATCTTTGACATTTTAAATTTTCTACTTAAGGCCATACAATTGCTTCTATACAAACCTGGTCTTAATTTTATTTCATGACATTTTTACCTAATAATCACTTTTTCTTAAGAGCCTTCTATGTATTAAATGACTTGTGGCAAGCCAGGCGTGGTGGCACACACCTGTAATCCCAGCACTCAATAGCCTGAGGCAGTAGAATTGCTGTGAGTTTGAGGCCAGCTTGGGCTACACAATGAACATAAGGGCAGCTTGAACTACACAGCAAGAACCTGTCTCAAAAAGCAAATAGATGGATGGACGGATGAGTTGTATAAAATATAAAGACCCTTAGAGTATTAAAACACGGGGCTGGATTTGCTCTTGTGGAAGGATGGTCTTGATTTTACTTTTAAGTCATACTCCTTACAAAAGTATTTCTCATATGCTCAATAAAAAATATTAGTGCAAAGTTTATATCCAGGGGCTACATCAAACTACAAACTTTAAATAGACAAGAATAATTACTATGATTTAGGACCAACCTTAGATTAGCTATCAGGAAAACCACTGTGTCCCCAAAAGAGCCATCTTTTCTCAGCTTTCTGATGTTACAATTAAAGACTCACAACTCTGGCTTAAGATTTTGCATTAAGTGCAACATATTCAAGTAAACAATCATAAATCAAGCTGTGACGCCCTAGGCAGAAGATGCATTAAATCAGAAGATCTGTGTCAGAGTCTTGATTTTTACCATTGATTAGCTATGTAAGTTCAAGCTCAGCTTCCACAAAATGGGATGTTATCTTACATACAATAATATTAATTATACAAAATAATTATATGAAAATCATCTTATAAATTTTACACAAAACTAAAGTGTTTTTTAACTGTATAACAAACAGATTTAGTTGAGCAGGATAGTGGAAAGTAGAGGACACAAAATCTCAAAGGGGAAATATTACTTTTCATATAGCTATTGAGGAGTAAATTCAATTCTTTTCTTTCTTCTAATAACAGATTTAAAAAGATAAACACTAGTACCTCAGCATCCTTATATTTTATTTAGTCCAATTTAAAATTTACAGAAATATAACAATAACCTTGTTTGTTAGTACTTACACCCCAGATCAAATGCTTTACTTTCTACTCACCCGAGATTTCTAATTCTGCCCAGTGAGATTTTTTCCCATTGGCTACCTCCTCTGCTGACATGATGGTATAAATTCTGCGAGGATCTGGAGGATCATATTTTTCCTTTGGCATCCCTATTAGTCTGTGGAGGAAAAAAGGATCAATTAGTATAATCTTACAGAGGAAAAAGGAGACAATGAGACCGCAAGTTTTCTCTTTCTTTCCCATTACCAGGCTACTAAGTCATTTCATACCACAAATTTTCTCTTGAAAAACCTATCATCTGTAGCACAAAAGCTCTTGAAAAAAATTCATTAACAGACAACGAAGAGAAAATGAAAAAAAAACAGTGGCCCTAGACTTTGTAGTAACCAATTTCCCTACATTCATTTACATTGCTTTCTCAGACACAATGGATCTTACCACCAGTTTCCCGATGGACTCCTAAACTAGTCTAAGAGAATCAGATATTTCTATCTTCCTTTCCTCAGCGATATGTAAATATCCCAATCAGCATGACATTCCCCTTGACAGAGATTAGTTCAAAGATATCTAAAAAACACAAGGCCTCAAGACTCCTCTATGTTTATTGGAGAAGCAGGCTTCTCTCTCCTGCTGGTCATAAATGAAAAAGAATACAGTCCTAAGGCATCCACCCAACAACTATAAAGGAAGTAAGCCAAAAAAGGCAGAGTCTAGAAAACAGAGAAACAAAGCTAAAGAGCTCACTGAATCATACCTATAGCACTCCCAACCAAGCCAACATACAGTATTTCCCTTATTAAGGTAATTTGAGTTGTGTTTTCTGTTATTTGCTTCAAAAATATCCTAATTAGGGTGACTGCATAAATTCTTTGCCAATCTTAATTCATATCTGTTATCCTGAGGTAATTATTAATATTCTTCCTTTTCACAATGCAGAGTATCCAATTGGATCAGTTACATGGCCATAGCACACAAATCAAAATGAGTACTAGGCAGTCTTCTTCACAGTCATAGCACAATCATCACCAATGACCAACTGAGATTTAAAATTACTCACATGTACTATGTATGAAGATGACAAATGTAACCTCATTAAAGTAATCCAGTATAAGAATGGCTCTGACAGTAGGCAGAAAATAAAAGTCCACTTTAGGGGCAGGGATTTAGCTCAGTGGTTCTGCTACCTGCCTCGCAAATGCAAGGTTCCAAATTCAATCCCCAGGACCAAAAAAAAAGTTCACTTTATTTTTACTAAAATGAGTGTCAGCCTACTTGAATTCTTACATACCATTCATAAATTGCTACATAGTGTTATAATTGGTTCTCTGTTCACACTTTTAATACACATAAACACAAACACAGATACTACAGAACCAAGTGCCTGAATCTGCAAGTTATTTTTAAGTTTAGAATTAATATAGGACTCGGTTAGCGAACCTATGGCATACATGCTGTAGTAGGCTGTTTGTATCATTGAAAGCTCTACAAGGTTTGCCATAACTAAATAAGTGATCTGAAATTTTTGTTACCTATACAGAATATAAAAGTAGTACTTTATCATATCCTAAGAAATCAACACATTTATAAGCATATTATAATCAAACTTTCCCATATTATAATTTTCCCTCATATTTTGAGGAGGAAATAGTCGTGTCTTTCTTTCTACTTAATGGGACAAAGAGAAAGTTTTCCAGGTTTGTCCACCTTATAACAGCAATTAATTTCAAAGATTCCACATCAATTTCTTTAATTTTAACCTTATACAGTCTGGGTGATACTAAATTATATTTTTCTTTAATGTCTTATAAATTTATAAAGTACAAAGAAAGTGATCATTTTCCAGAGGGAACAAACCTGATTTCTGTCATTCAACCTATGTAAAATACTTGTGAAAGTAAAATTTATAGGTAATGAAATTTTAAGAATTTCTACTGTATACTATAAGGGATATGTGTCTTTGGGGGTATTTTTACACACTAAGATGATACCAAAAATAAAGGGGAATCAAAGTTCAGATCCAGACTCAAAGATATTCTACAAAATCCACTACCAACAGTCAGGATTTTAAATTATGAAATTTGCAAAAACACAGGTTTCAAAATTTTTAGATTATTTTTATAAAACTAGGGTATAAAATTAGAAATCAAATTAATTGACTATTTTAACTATGATTCCCACTAAATGGTTTATGGTTCATAAAGGAACTGTGAGTTATTCCTGTGGGGAGGTATTCTTTTTATATGACATACAGTTTATAAGACAATAATATGTATTTTTTAAATGACCATATGCTTTATATTCCTAAAATCTACTACCTTCCTACCTTTCCCGTCTTATAGCCAATTACCAACCAATGCTTTTCTAATATTAATCTGAAGAAATTAATCCACATGTTCAACTCTCCCAAATATTTTACAAATTTAGATAGATTAACATCTTTTCTAACATCCATTCTATTCTCTGAAAAACTGCCATTTTAAATTACCTTTCTATTGTTATAAATTAAAACTTGTAAAATCTCTTATTTAAAAAACAGCTTCACAAAATTTTTATCAATGTGTAATAAAAACAAACACAATAATACTGACATTAAGAGTCAAAAATTCCCTTGGATTTTATTACAACACAATAAAAATATGTCATTTAATTCTTCATAATGATTCCATATTTGAGTAATTTGAAGATAAAACACACATTTCATGTGGATTGATTCAAGAATTTATTAGAGTTTATATTTCTGGTGATTGCTACTAAGTATGCTATCAAAAATGTAGAGAACTCAAGTGCAGGAAATTAGCAGTTAATGCCTTTTGGTCATCTCTGTTTTCCCCTCTTAGATCCTCAACATCAGGAAGTCACCTTGTAGGTATATTACAAATACCTACTTCAAAATAATTTAATATAAAAAATAATCATTCAAATATAAATCTCTAAATGTGACCCTGATAATACAATATCGAATAATCTCACATACAAGCCAGAACTGCACAAGGTCGAAAATGGAGTGATGGACACCTTTCATCCAAGAAACAGAAATGCTTTATTTTAGAAAACCTAGGGCTGGGAATTTAGCTCAGTGGCACTGTGCCTGCCTTGCAAGAATAAGGTCCTGAGTTGGATCCACAGCATCAAAAAAGAAAGAAAATCTAGCAGCTAATTCCATTCCTTATCTTTTCAACTGATAAGGCAAGTTTTTGTGATGCTGGGGATCAAATCCAGCACCTCAGGTACACTAGACAAGCTCCATCAATGAGCTACATTCTTAGTCCTTGGGGCAAGTTTCTGGATTAGTTGTTTCCAAGAGTTCCCAACTTCTACATCTTTTTGGGGGGATTGGAGATAGTTCAGGATGGCCTTAAACTCACTTTGTAGCCCAAGGTAATCCTCCTGCCTCAGCCTCCTGAGTGTTAAGATGACATGCCATGATGCCCAGGCAAATTTCAAGGAAAATGAATACACATGCACGCACACACACACACACACACACACACACACACTCACGGAGGTAGGCAGGGGGAGGGAGAGGGGGAGAGAGAAAGAAAATCAGAACAAACAAAAGCTGAACTAAACTTCTATATATATTGGTCATCTGGAGTAGCTTATAAAAAAAGTAGCCTCTACAGTGTATGTAAAAAGACATATCCTTAATGTTGCTAAACTACAGCTACCTTCTCACCACTCTAGGTTTAAAGTCATTTTATTTCAATCTGTAATCCAGCATTATTAATGTTATTTCATTTACTTTTACCTTGTTTAAGCAAGCAAAATAACAGTGAAGTGCAAAGTTTTTGACATCAATATCTATTTTTAATTATACATAACTATTAATCATAATAATAATCTTACAAAATTTGTACTTTATCCGAAAAGGTATCTTACCCATACTTTTAGCGTTGGCTCACCAGCTGATACAAAAAAAAAAAAAACAGCCTAGCACATCACACTGCATACTGTAGAATCATAATGACAAAATTAATGACAGGAATCAGAAGAGCTTAAAAGATACTTCTGAGGTAAATAACAATTTGATTAGTAATTCCATTCCACTTCCATAACAAGAACCTCTGGACAGTACTAGTCTTTTATATTCATATATGACAAATAATGCAAGCATTCAGAGAAAACTTCAAGTTTTCCTGACATCTCCAGCTCTGTGACCACTCTAAGTAAAACAAAATCTACTTTTTATGATGGTAAAATTACTTACCATTATTTTAAAAACCTTTAGACTTTTGGACTCTCGAGTTTCTGACCAGTTTAACATTTATTCAAGCAATAGTCATTGCATGCCTACTACTATCATTTACTCTACGACGCACTAGTTCTTCCACAATGAACACAACAGAAATGTATATGCCTCATGGAGTATATACTATCTTCATGGCACTATTTGAAAAAGAAAGCTTCAGAATATTTTATTTTAAATAATCATATTAAAATTGTGGAATTCCTTATTACTACTATTTTTCCCTTTCATCAGGTAATTACTTGCACTGGTCTATGTCAGTGGTAGCAAACCTATGGCACATGTGCCACAGCAGGCTGTTATCTTTGAAAGCTCTAAAAGGTTTACCATCACCGGTCTATGCTGTTGTTATACTAAAATGAGTAGAACAGCTAAAAGGGAAAATAAAACATCCTCATCACAAAGGAAGACAGTAATTAACAACGGATAACCTGTTGAACAGGTTAGGGTAAGTGGAAAAAGTAGTGAGTTCCCAGCAAACAAGTTTTGACTGGACTCTACTGGGGAATGGTACCAAGATAACACAGTCAACACATACCAGTTTGCGTTTTTTGTGTCTGCAGTACTGGGGATGGAACCCAAGGATAGATACTCTATCATTAAGCTATATGCCAGCCCCCTCTACCTACCATCCATCCATCTATCCATCCATCCATCTATCCATCCATCCATTCATTCTGTTTAGAGCCAAGGTCTCACTAAGTTGCCTGGACTGGGCTCAAATTTGTGATCCTTCTGCTTCAGCCTCCCAAGTACCTGTAATTACAGGAGTGCACTACTGTGCCTGGCGCATACCAGTATATTTAAGTTCAGGTAACAGCAAGTGGTTTCCTATAACAGTGATCATATTTTTTTCTACCATCCTTACTGGCAAATCAAAAAATTACATAAGAGCAATAACAAGGACCCTT